TCTGTCTGTGCAAACGTTGTAATGTAAATGGGTGCTTTTGTGTGATGATGCTGCATTGGGTGAAAATGTGTTTTTATTTATTCTTCCTCTCTGAACGACTGCAAGCTATTCTTGCATGCAGCGAGATGTTCTTGTTTGTGTTTGCTCTGCTTCAGGTAAACAGACACAATGGAAAACAGCTTGAACACAAAGAGAACAAATAACAGAAACAGTGAGGAGAGGGAACATCCTGTATCTGAACTACTGAAACAGTCTTAGTATCCTCCATGGTCAGACTACCAAACTTTATTCAGACCTTTTTTTGCTGAACAGTTGGGCAAAGTCTTTTTCTATTGACTGATGTGTCACTGTCACGCCTTGTCTGAAATTCTGTGAGAAGTGGCAGCTGTCTCTCTAGAGTTGACTGTTGCTTGGTTTTAATAAATCAGGCAATCTCCCTCGCGTCTCTTCTTCCCGTATCTTATCCTGATGGCTTTCCCTCCACGCCACTCTCTATCTCTGTTCTTTTTCTCTCCCTTTACTTTTCCCTTGGCCTGTCTTCATCTCTGCCATGGCTGCCAATCTCTTCGTCCCTCTCCTACCATTTCCAACTCCCCCGCTTTAATACTCAGCTTCCTCTTCCCTATCTTTCCGGTCTCTCTTTAGAAGCTCTCATCATTGCTAAGTTGCTCAAAAAGAGCCACTTCCTCTGTCATCTCCTCCGGGAGTGCTGGTACATTTAGCTTGTTCTAAAAGCTCAGAGCCTTTTTTTATGAAGTCAGGTACTGAGGGTTTCTCACTTTTTAAAGGTGATGGCAGAGGAAAGGTATGATTAAATGAAAAGGACTTGCTCATGCACTCTCTGACATTTCTTCAATAGGTTTTCTCTCCTCTTTTTGCCCATATGCTTCCAGTCTCTCCACCTTTGGCTATCTCACCCCTAATGTATTATATGTGAGTGTGAATAGATATAGTGTGACTTGAATAGACTGAGGATTTGATAAGGCTGCCATATGCTGCTCATAAATGATGGATATTGGAAAATCCTTCATCACAGAGATCAGGCCTGACTTTATGAGTCCTTGGCGTCCACTATTTGTCTGTGACTAAGTAAAATGCTGTCAACAATTCAATGTTCTATTCCTCTGTCTATACCTCCAGCATGAATGACTGCACTTAAATGATATTATAAACCCAGATGTGACCCGTATAAGTATAACTTTTTTCCTTTTTAGCTCTCCCTTTCTAATTTTAAGTTTCTCTTTTTTAGAGCACAACACCAACACTATATTTCTCCACATGTCATTATCAAACACATGTCAGTCTAACCTGGTGGGGTGCCCGGGGGTGCCTGCCATGTCATGCGCTCGCTCATCCAAATATAACACATTTTGACGAGACGCCTGTTACATGAAGACTTCCTCCCACTCCCGACCCTGTCTTCAGTCTCTCTCTCTTCAACCCCCCCCGGCTGTGTGGAAAATGCCTTCATTTAATATTGTGGCATTACCATACCAACTAGGCCATTAGGGTGGAGATAGCGCTGCAGTAGCAAAGGGGATAACTCTCTCCCTCGATATGTAACTGCCGATTGCAGACACAAAGTGCACTAAATGGTGTGGGAAAATATGCGGCACAGAAATTTTTTGTTAAGACCCAGCAATCTGTTAGATCTCAGACAGATCTGTCCTCTATGTGCAGGGTGCAAATATTTTGTTTAGCTATTTAGAGCAGCGAAAGGAATATGAACAGTGGCGGTATATATTTTTTTTAATATATTTTTTTAATTTTAATTTTTTATGAACAAGGTAAATATTATATAATTGGTATCAGTAAAATGTATAATCTACAATAAAATCTTGTTTAAAATGGTGTTACGATGTCTAAAGTTACTGATAAGTCACATGTTTCCTGACTGGCCTTGCCCCTGTATCATTACCCTCTCTCGTCTGGGCGCTAAGAGAGGAGCCCTCAACCAGTGCAGCAGCAGCCACTAGCAGCTGACTGTTGCTATCTGTAAGCTATGGCTCCGAAACATAATTTCAGCCAATCAGCGTCGTCAAATCTGATGATCACCGGGCGCCAATGTCAGCGCCCGGTGCAGGGTTATGGTTAGAAAGGATCCGCCTTGTGTAAAACTCTCGCGAGAGTTTGCGAGTCACGTGGCTGAATGTTTACGTTTGACAGGCAGCCTTTCAGTTACGATCGTTAACATCAGTGGGCCACAGATAAACACTGTCTTTGGTTTCACATGCTTGCTCTTCAAACGGCCGGGGACAGATACTATGTGCCCGTGATAAATAAACACGCACACACACACACACCCACACGCACACACACACACACACACACACACACACACACACACACACACACACATATTATTGTAGTTGAGTTTTGACAGCATCCATCAAACTAGATGTTTTGCCTTAATGGTCTGTTTTCTAATATTTCTGTGTTTCTGAACCACGTCTGTGTCTGCATATAATGTTCGTATTTAGTCTCCTCAGGGTTCCCGCGGGATCTTAAAAAGTCTTACATTTGATAATCTGAATGTAAGGCCGTAAAAAGGTCTTAAATATGACCAAAACAATAAGAAAGGTCTTAAATATGATTTAGAAGGTCTTAAAAATGATCGGATTTGAAAGGTACTTCTGTGTTGCGATAGCGTCTAAATGTGTTTTGGGCGAAATGTCCGGGCTGCAAAGTAATCAGTACGGTAATAGCCTTTCAGTTCCCCCCAACAATTTGTATTGAATTAAATCAACATGGAACCAGTAATCACTAACTTTGTTTCCCCCGGCCCCTTATTGGAGAACACCCAGCTAGTAACCTAGCAACCAAGCTTCAGCTTGTGGCAGTCAGAAACTCATGTATCTTCGAATCTACTTACAAATTAATATGGGGAAGTGTCAGTTCAACCGTATTTGGTTTGAAAACATCTAATTTAGTGCTTGGTTGAAACCAGTGGAGGGGAACGTGTTTGAAGCCCGCCGCACCATTTGCAAAATAAATAAGCTTTTGTTTTGCTAATGTAGCGTTAGCTAGTGCAGGAGCTCCCGCAACAACACCGGGGGACCTCCGGGCGACGTTTGGGTCTACGTCAACCCTAAAAGCGGAGGTGCTGTAGACGCTTAATACCGTAGCTAAACACCAATCATACAACAGCAACGATGAAATAGTGTAGCCAATTTAATTTAAGGGGTAATTTCTCAAAAATGTTCCCCGTGTGGTTTATTCACCATTACAATAGCCCCACCTAAAATAATTTCCACCAGCCGCCACTGAATATGAAAATATAACAACAGGAAAAACTCACTGAACGATACCTCCGCAACCCGACCACAGATAAGCGGGAGAAGATTGATGGACAGTGAACAATTTGGACTGATGTATTGGCAGAAATGCAATATTATATTAATGAATATGTTTTAGTAGCGTTTAATCTGAAACTGAAAAAGATTATTATTGTGTTTTTGTTAGTTTTGGAGCCCACCGTGTTAAACTGTCGTAGTCCAGTGAGGAATATATTAAGTCATTGCTTCTTGCCAATAAATAGTCCAGCACATCTATTGAAAACAAGTGTTTGTTTTTACACACTGTTTTGTTTAACTTTTTCTTTTCCATGTTCATTAGTTAGCTTGGTAGGAATACCACTGATAGAGTAAGGCTAGCTATTTGCCTGCATTCTTTATGCTAAGCTAACCAGCTTCAGACTTGAGCTTCATTATCAGCTTACAGACATGAAGGTGTTATCAATCTTGTGATGTAAGGAAAGAAAGCACAAGTATTTGAAATAATGTCAAATCATTACTTTAAGTGTTAAACCAAAAAAGCACCCTAATATATTTTGCAGGCAAAATATAAATTTTACCAAGAGGAAACTCTAATCTAAAAGAAAGTTACCCTGAAGTGATTTTGCAATCTCGCTGAGGTCATAAAAAGATGAACACTCATCATAACATCACTTTAAGCCTACCTTTAAGATCAGGAAATGATCACTCCGGGAGGTTTGTCAGAAAAAAAATAGTTGCCTGCACCCTGGGCTATAAACACATAATATTGCTTCTGAGACATCTGCACCAACACGGGGTAAACACAGTCAGCCAATACCAGCTCACGCAGCATTCAGCACACACCCTCCTTTCAATCCTTCTGGTAAAGAGTCTTGGTGGGGGGAGATTGAAAACAGCAAGAACCCGCGCCTGCATTTACATTCCAATCAAGTGGCACCCCTGCTGGAAAATGGCTTCATTTTCTCCAATCAAAAGAACACACTCACACAAGGTCCATTATTACAAAGTGCACACACACACACACACACACACACACACACAAACAAAACTACACTTGATGTACACAAACCAATTCTACTCATCACAAACATCCCTTTTTTTGTGTTTCTGGCCAAGTCTGAGTTGCTGGAGCGAGTAAATCTATCATCTCCCCTGTTCCCTTCACTGGACCTGTGTTCCCTCCTCTTTCCTGTTTTTATTGAAATGAGAACAAAGTCAAACGCTATCTCTCGCTATCACGCTCCGACCTCTTTCTCAATGCTGTCCGTTTGTAACCCGGGGCGAAGAAGAGGAAACATATCAAAAGGGATCAGACAGCCCTGGTGCCTCTGTAGCACCTGCCTGCCTCACCCAGAGGTACATCACTGCTGACCTTGTCACGAGCCATTGCATCACAATGAAGTTTTCTCCCTGGGAAAGTCAGAAGTCTTGCTTCATTTGCTGCGAGTCAAGGCTCATTAGAAAGCTATATTGCTTGCCTTGTGTTTATGGTTTGGAAAGAATAACAATCCTCGACGGTGTTAATTTTCCTTGAATGCCACACTGCGAATGTCACAGCGAAGTTATTCTCGTTGGTCTGCATCTATATCTAAGATAAGACATGACCTGAGACAAGTATTGAATTTCAACTAGAAGAACGGAGCAAACCTAATTATAGTCGAAAACAAAGCATCCTTGAATCCCACTGATGGCATTACAAATGAGAACACAAGAGTAACATTTAGCTTTGAAGTGCTTTATTTTCTAACTGTAAGACAAAATATGTTGATTTGGAAAATTACACTTCCCAGTGATATGGGAACAAGCGCTGTAGAGTGAGGAGCAGGGTCTGCAGTCGGGATCTGTTGTGGGAGCTCAGTCCATCAGCGGTGTGAAGAGAGGCAGAGAGGCGAGACCACTGGCTGCAACACAAGACACGAGCGGGGAGGACAAGCGGGACCCATGTCCTGTGTTGCAGCCCCTGGCCCAGCCGACAGGTCGCCTTCAGCTCAGGGCGGCGACAGCTTATCCACTGTGAAGAGGAAGGAAACAGAGAAGGGAGAGGAAGGAAATGAGGGGGAGAGGGAGGGGGCAGAGAGGGAGATAGTCAATTACAGTAGATTATTGTGTGAGAGACAGAGGGAGGCGACTTGAGAATATGAGAGGGAAAAAGTGACAGAATTTTAGGGAACAGAGAATGAGACTGGAGCGGAGGGGGAAATGAACGAGAACGATACTAATGGAGAGCGCCAAAGGGACGATGCTCCTCCAAAAACACCACATTCATCACCTGGCCAATGAGAGTAGCCTTTCTCACCGAAGAGGGGGTTGGCCTTCCAAGCTTCGTCTCTTAAGCACCTTGTTCTACAACCGGAGAAAAAGGCTTACGCCCAAATTGCTTGACTCAATGGTTAATGACTTTTAGTGCCACTGGAGAAAAAGATCCCTCTGAAAATGTCCATATGTTAAAGCCCTGTGGCCGATTGGGAGAGTGTCATTGGGATTAAATGTAATCATTATCGTGGTTGTGCATTGTATATTGAAAATAAATCAGATCTGCTGGGTGATTTTGGCTTAAAAATCTGAAATGTGTGCAAGTAAAATGATGTTTATGCTATCTACTGTATTGGTCTCAGAGCGAAGCAGTTTGTCATCAAAGAGGGAGAAGGCATGCAATCAATTTCCAAACCAGCCCCACGTTATTCTCTCTCCCTTTCTTCTCGTATCTCTTGGGGAGTCTGCCGTGTAACTGGCATTAAAAGGTCATAGCCGAGTGAACTCAAAGCTGCTTGTACCACAAACAAAGGTCTGAAAATGCCATGGTTTCACTGGCATGATATCTGCAGATGGAACATCAACAGGCAAAATAACAAAGCATAATCAAACACCCTTTTTTCTGTGACATTCAACCCAAATGTTTCACAGTGGTATGTTCCCCGCTAGGATTTGATCCAATCCCTCAATCCCTTTAGAGATTCTTACATCAGCCTCACTTTAAATCAGACTTTTGTGATGCAGTAGGCAATTACATGAAAATCTTTCTCTCGCCTAGTTCCTTGTATGAAAATGAGTTCAACCTAGATTTGAAACTGCAGGGATATGAACTCCGAGGACAGATGAAAGGAGTTGCAAGTACGAAAGCAAGCAAAAAAGAAAATAGAGGAGAGCCACGGGCAAATTCAATTCACTTAACCCTTTCTGCTATTCTTAACTCAAACCTTAGAAAAAGAGAATATTCAAAGATTGAGTCCGAGTGAAGTCTAGGTAACAATGTCTGATAGAACTGCACAGATATTTTATCAGAGAGGAGAGATAAAGGCTGCCTAACACTTGGGAATGATGCTTTTGAAGTTTGCTCTCAGGAAAAGCTGATCTCCTACATCAAGTGCATGAGGCAGTACGAGGCATTCTTTTGTAATGGAAGTTGCAGTGTACCTCTCCCTCCATATAGGACATTAGACAAAAAACATAGACTAATAATGGATGGCTTACTACTGCAACTGCTCAAGGCATCTTGGCTGTGGTGAGAATGAGGCCACCCAGATTGTACATTCAATCGTTTACGTGAATTGCCTTTCATTACCGTGGCAACAATGAGTTTCAGACAGGACTGAAATGACTTTGCCAGACGAATATTGCAGCGGACACAGTTTGCAATTAACTGAACTTGTAATTGAAGTACTGCCGCTGAGTATTAGGGCCCAATAATTCACTATAATCAGGACAATGATCACAGAGACTGTAAGGGATATGGGCCGCCCGTGTCCCTTACAGTCGAATCATAAAAAATGTTCCTTCGCTTTTCAGAAACTCACACAATGGACGACTCACCAATGGTACATTGTGCCAGCAGCTACAATGGTGTGGCTTCTCTAATCAGTTTGTGATATGGAGGAAGATTTCAGTTTGCTGGAACGGAAGTAGAAAAAAGGGTTTAGGGAAAGACCTACAAGGAAATTGTATGAGGAAACAGAAGAAAATCACACATTAACATAATGCCTCAAATTTACGTTTATTGATATCCCTGTATAAACATTCATTAAAAGACAGTTCATTATCACATAAGGCGAAACACATCACCGGGTCTATCCATGATTGAAAAGTGATGACTATAAAACTTTGCATAAATGAATTTGCATGAATATCCTTTTACATGAAATGTGTCTGTAAATGTGAGGTTGCTTGGCCTTTCAGATAGGCTCTGCTTTAATCAGTTTGCTGTCTGGGATTAAAGAGGGAAAAGAAAATAGTTTTCTGGCAGCCACTGGATGTGAAGCTCTGTGCTCGTTCATTCTCTTTTGAAGCAAGGCCGCAGGGAGCGCCTAAACAAACAGCCACCATAACTTTAACACCATAGTTTTAGACATAACTCTTCGTTTTAAAGCCTGACATCCAACCGGCACATTTTAACGAGGACTTTAAATGACAACCATTGTATAAATCACATCAATGGGCCAAAAATTTAGCTTAACCTGAGGTTTGCTATCTGTCGAACACAGAGGTTAGGCTCTCCCATCATACCTTTACAAAACTAATGTGCAAAGAGGCTTACTAACGTCTTACCATGAAATCATAAATCTGTAAAGCTTTTGAATGCTTTTCAGGTCTTTGAACACTAACCCTCTATCATTTTATTATGAAAAAGGAAGACGGCTTTACTATTCCTCTCCTTGCTATTCTCCATGGATACACAGCCTTTTACAAAGACCTAGCTGGTCCCTCCACTGGGTCCCTTCCCTTGTGAAAGAGCCACTGTTCTCTGGGGTTCTGGTTGCTTGGATCATCCTGGTCCAAAAAAACACTGTTTGTAGAACCAACATCTTTGTTCTCTTTAACATGATTATGCATGGTGTAGAAAAGCAGTCTGTCCTCACAGCTCTGCTTTCCGGGCCATCACATAGGAATGTACACACTGCCTTTTTGAGAGACACACATCCTTTCATTGCTTTACAATCAACTTTGATACTGAGATATTTAAGGAATTATTCTCTGAAGTACAGAAAAGGAGAATAAGCTATACAACAAGGTTGAACCAGATCACCTCCTTTTGAGTTTTCACATGCTCTTCTATCAGGAAGTACAGTAACCGCAGAAAGGTTCCGCTGAAAATAGCCCAAGAGAATAATGAAGTCTCTGGGCCTGTACATGCGTAGTTTCCAGTAACAGTAGAGTGACTCAGCCGTGGAGTGGTAATCACTTGTCAAATGCTGAATATTAAATCCTATTTATCTTACAGAACTATTGGGAATTAAGCAGAATGTGAAGTCATCAAGTTAATGTTAGTGATGTGTGTTCACTCCCAACGAAGCGAGACAACTTCCGACCTGCACACAGATACAAGTCCTATGAGTAAGTGATGCTGTGACCTTGGATTTCTCTCTCTCTCTCTCTCTCTCTCTATGTTCCTGCATCAGACCATTCATTCACACTTAATCTGAGGAATGGCTGGGATGAATGCATCAGAAGCAGGGGGGTTTAAAAAGTGCTAACGCTCTAAATGATGCATTAATAGGACAATTGCTTCCATAGCTAAGAAGCATGTCTGCAATACAAACAAACACGTAGAGGAGCATTAAACTCTGCACTGATTTTAATAGCACAATCTGCGCTAAGAATTTGAAAGAATGCATAAATTGCAGCCCATTATCAGGACACAGCATAACAACGGAGTCACTGATCGTATGGCCATCCATTATTCATTCAAATGGATAATGACACTCATTACGGAGTATAGACTATTAAACTCTTAAAGTAGCTGCAGATGTATGAAGCCAGAAAGTGACTTCAGATAATAGCCGCAGACAAATGTATATCTGCATTCACATCAGTATGCAGGAGAACACTGATTGAAGTGGACCCTCTTGTTGTCACACACGCACGCACGCACGCACGCACGCACACACACACACACACACACACACACACACACACACACACACACACACACACAGCATTACAGGGCATTGTGCCTTTTCTCCCAAGCTTTCTCAGCACTATTGGAGTTTGTGTTGCGTCTCAGAAGTGATGGCTCCATCGGCTTTTCCCTGCAGGTGCTGACAGGACACTTTGGGAGGTGTCTGCCTCCCTGTGAGGACCTCCATAGGTGGAAGCCGAGTCCTGTTGGCACCAGACCTGTCTCACACCACAGCACAATGGAGACAAGTTTGGTTCCAACGGTCTCAATAAGTGGTGCATAAATACATTTAGGGATGCAATATTGGGTTCCCCTGCAAACTGATTCCAAAAAGTCCTTCCATGGTCTCAAGTGCAAAACAAAACCATGAAATATCTGATGTGTGGTATCTCGGGCATCCTTCAAAGATTTACTAACACTATAATAGCGTCTGATAATGATTGAACTCCTTTGGCTTCAGGGTTTCTGTGCCCTGCAGGAAAATTGGGTTCATTTATAACTGTGCAGAAGAGCTTAGAAGTAGGCTATTCTTTGATCATGCATTTTCATAATATTATCACACAACATTCATTTATTCCAATTTACTGTGAGTGAATAATAGTCAGCCTACCTTTCCATCACCTCTTTTTCATTTCAGCAGCACGCAGCAGAGATGGGAATGTCGTCGCACTTTGCGCACAATATGAACCTCTCGGTTTTTCTATCTGTCTGTCTGTCCCTCCCTCCCTAGTAATCGCAAGTCAATTCAGTCCTGTAGTGAGGGAAAATCCGTTTATCCGCGAACTACACGCAAGGAGCTGCACCGCTTGGCTGTTTCAATCTTGTGAGAAAGCGCCTGCCTGACAGCGCCTGATAAAGTGGAGATTTACTCGCGTACAAAGTGAGAAGCAATCCCTCACACTTCAGCTTACTCCATCAGTTTTGTGCGCTCTATACTGGCCCGATGATTTAATATATCTCCAGTTTCTGGTGGCACGCCCCCCCCCCCCCACACCGAAATCTTTCTCCCCATAAACTGACACACGCGCGCAAGAAAACAAGCATTTTAACATACAAAGAACAACATTTTAAGTATGCTCCACAGCAGCAACATGTGATATATAACATATTATTGTAGCCTTATTACACAATTATGGATGCAAATCATATATAAATAATCATACAATCATGAACCCACTAATAAAAGAGAAATACTGTAGGCTACTGCACAGACCTGGATATTGCACTTAAGTATGAAGTCCCAAAAGGAAGATATGAGGATGGAAATTCAGTTTTAACAATGGAAATGATTGCGTCAGAGCAGAGGCTATTTTCTGTTTTAACTCAGGTTCACATGGGACATCGATAACTCATAATGGACTAGGTACCACATAATTGCCTCCCTTCAACTAAAATTGCTGCATTTCTCGTAAATGACAGCGATTAACCAACCTACTGTTAGTCAGACTGGATATTCCGGGAAAAGATGTGCGTAAAACGCACAGCTCCGGAGATCAGTCCATGGGCACCTTGAGACGAGCCGAGCAGGAGTGTGTGTTTGTAGTGCTGAACGATATCCCCTCTCGTGTCGAACAAACCTCTGTTATGTCTCTGTATCGCAGGTGTCTGTCTGACCGGGCTGCTTCATTTGGTATCAGCCCCCCAGAGGGTGCATCGATGCGCACTCAGTGAGCTCACCCTCCCTGCTGCTGCTGCTGCTGATATAGGCTGGAGATATACAATTTCACATTGTCGCTCTTTTTCCCTGACCTTAGAATTCCTTGATGCAATAATTCCACATAGCCGCAGGATTTTAGACTCGAGCGATAACCTTCTGGCACAGCCTTTGTGTTCTTGAACCCAAGAAACCTGGTTTGTTAATGCGCAGGACACAGCAATATTGATGTAAATACAGCCCGTAATGTCGTCAGACATTAGTAATTCTTACTCTCTCAATAAGAAATTATGACATCAATAAAGAGGAAGGTTGCAGCAAATTAATAACCGAAATACCTAATGTATCTCTGAAATGCTGTCATGAGTTAGTGTCTGACTTTTAACTTTAGGAAACGTTACCGCCTCCAAATTGTGCCTGTTATTAACCTAATTTGTGATTTCCTACCTGAACCTACGTGCTTTGAAAGTGATCTTAAATAAGATAAAATGACAATATCATTAAAAACTACCACGATATAATCACATTTTTAAATAACTACTTTGGGTGTATTTGCTTTTATCTTGTTTAACCAATAGCCCAAACAGAAGAGCATTATAAATTACATTATGCTACCTAAACGAACAAAACAGTCGCCCCGCAGTGTACCTCTTGTTTGACTCAATCTCCCACAATGCACCACGAGCAACGTCACAGTCTTGCGACCCAACGTGGATTTGCAGCAAAAGGTTTATCGAGATTCAAACGTACACATTTTTAACACGTATTGACCACTGCAGCTCCAATAGAGAGTGCGTGAATGTTATGTTATACTCTATTCTCACCTCAGTGGTCACTTTAACGTTTTTCAAAAGACGTTTTACCTATGGTTTTAACACGTTGTTAGTGTCGCTCCAGTTCTCCACGAGCCACTTCAGCACCCTGCATTCAAATGAAGTTTCATCAAGAAGGAAAAACAGTGGACTTCCTGTTGGACGCTTCCTTGCTGTATAAAGAAACATGCCCGGAGCTATCACGGTTCTTACTGTAAGAAACTTTGTTTAAAATCCTACATTAATTTCACTTTCTCAGGTGCTGCTTTCTGTCGTGTATTGTTGTAATGGCAGCATGTAGCCGCTAGGTGGAGGAGCCGAGCAGTGTTAGCTGTGGACCTCCTGCCTGTAACTGTGTTTATATGGACTGCTGGAAACAGTATACTGATATGTTTAATTTTACTAACATTAGTTTATCCCAGAGTGGTGCCTTTATACTTTCTATACTTTATCCTTTTTTAATTCTGTAAATGCTAATAGAGAGAGCCAGTGGGAAAAATAAATGCTCTGATTTAACATTTAACTTTAGATTTCTTACCCTTTTAACTAGAATGTTCCTTTCCTGTTCACTCAGCATATATGGGAGTTAACGCTGAAATAGAAGAACCTTTCTCTAGTTACACACAGTATATTGTGATAATTCATTTTATAGACACTCACAAATTGAATAAAGATAGGTTTAGCAAAATCACACACATTTAGGCTTTTCTTATATTGAAATTGATCATATGTGCTTGGTTTACTAGCATATATTAATGACTGTAACAGACCATCAACAGTATTAGAAAGCATGTAACATATTTATTTGATGCCTAGTGTTACACTTTGTTTCAAGAGACCTGTCAATCAATTAAAGTGTAATAGCATTGCTCTTTTAACCCTTAACCACTGAAAAGCTTACTATGTACAGTTGTTTGAGAACTAGCTTTTTCACCTTTTACATTTTAAATTTGAATATGGCTAGGTAATGTGTCACATGCATATCACTCCTTTTGAAGACTTGCCCATATGAGGATAGCTAACATCCACTTTGTTGTTGGATCATTAGTGACTGATGAACATTCACAGCTTGGTGTATCAGTCTTTTTCCACCTCCACATTAAGTCTGAGTAATATTTGGCTGTTGCTTGATTACTGACTTTTTTCTTTGATGATGCCACATATTATTGTTGTTATACGAAATTATCTTCTTATTGTGAAGCATGGCTGTTTGTTTAGTTCCAGTGGCTATTCCCATTATACGATACAATATACTTTATTGTCCCCGTAAGGACATTTGTTCTGGACTCCGTCCAGCAGTTCCGCATACATGTACATATACAAACATAGTAAACACTATACATACACATCAATTTTGTTTAGCAGCGGCACCATGATCCTCTCAAAACATTTCATGACAATGGATGTCAACGCAACAGACCTGAAATCATTGTTTACCTTTGGACAAGGTTTTTTGGGAACAGGTGTTATTATTGATGTTTTCCAGAGGGTGGGGATGGTGTGAAGATCAACAGATTTTTGAAATATGGGACTCCATGCTGATGTCAGTTCTTCTGCAAATGTGTTGGGGAGGAATGCAGAGATGCCATCTGGCCCTGTGGCCTTCTTAGTACAGGTGTGCTTGAAAAGTGATTGGACCTTTTAAAGGGTCAATCACCACCCTTTCGTCCTGGTCAGTAGCAGAGATTGTCTCTAAAGGCCCTGACACACCAAACTGACACCAAAGAACACGTCCCGACGGAACACGACTGTTGTGTCGCCTCACGTCTCCTGCTTCTTGGCCAACAGTCGCACTGGAACACACCGCAAAGACTTTAGCCGACGGCCAAGTAGCACGTACGAACTGCGCATGCGTGAGTGGCAATAACTCTCCTTACCAGCAGGCAGCGGTGTGTATTCGTCATTCAAAAGAGGCAACAACCGGAAGACAGAGAAGAAGAACAGACTGTGATATAAACAAACAACAAATAGCGTGTGCGTTCCATTTTCACTCTCGTCCATCGAAAACATGTCTCGTGCGGTACTGGAGCTATCAGCCATTGGAGTGTTGCTTGTTGAAGACATTCTTTGTGCCTTCTTAAAGCGTTTGTTTACGTCCCTCACTTCTGTTTCGCTTCTCATGCACTGATTTGCTAGCTGAACAGCCAATCAGAGTGATTTATTTGGCCCGACCCGAAGCATGCGTCGGCCATGAAAGGCTAAATAAGGCGTGTCACGGCCGACGGTGCGGGACACACCAAATTGAGTTTGGGCGACAGGGCACGCTTCGTCGTTCGACTAACGAAAACGGCCGATTTCGGCCTGGTGTGTCAGGGCCTTTAGATGTCTGTACATTCAGAGGAGAAGTCCTGGGTTTCAGATCTCATGTAAAAGTCATTCAGTTCATTTGCTTTTTGCAGGTCATCAGAGGTACAGAGAGTTTTCTTAGCTGGAGTCATATTTGTGATTACTTTCATAGTGTCCCAAAGTTCCTTGGAGTCCATTGTAGAAAAGTTCGGTTCAATAATTTCCTTATGTCTCCTTCTAGCTTCTCTGAGCATGTGATTAAGCTCCTTTTGCACACATTTCAGTTGCGTTTTATCCCGGTTTTTAAAAGATATATTTTTCCGATTGATTACGATTGATTATACGAGCTGGTTGTGCCCAGTGGCTCATGTGCAGTTGAATGGCCTGGGGGATTTTGTGCAGCATGTGTGAGCTATTGCAACTGATGAATTCAATTTAAACGTACTCTTATTAAATCATGTGTATTTTCACAGTGAGTTATATTTCATTGGTGAGGTCACAGCACCTTCCTAACAAGCTTAAACATGTGAACAAAACAGAGAAAGCAAAGTGCTGCCAGCAAAGACACACTTCCTCTTATCGTCGGGTAGGAGAGCAAACAGAACCTCGCCTCTTCTCTTTCATCTTTTGCAAGGTTGCCACAAGGTCTCATAAAAGTCTTTCCCAACTGCCTTTATCTAATAAGCCTCTGGTAGTCAAGTCTTTTCATCCTTATTAGAATAAAACAAAAATAATTGATGCCGGTTCTTAAACTGCGTCATCATTCACAGTTCATTGCTTCAATTTGTTTCTTTGCCAAAGTGTATTTCTCTGATGGCGTGTCCCACACATTGGTGATTATCTTATTGTGAGGAAAGTCAAAGCTGAATGTAATTTCCGGATAAAGCCACTTTAGTCTCTCTAGTGTGTGCCACTCACAGGCGTGTCTGCGTGCTTTTCTCTATCATAATGGATATGGTGTTTTAATCCATTGAAGTGTGTAAAAGTGTGTGTGTGGACTTTGAGTTGGGTTTCAACCATGTCCCCACATCCTCCAGGTTGTTTTCATTTTCACCTGAGCCAGGAAATCTCTGGGCAGAACCATGAATGGAAATCAAAACAGAGGTTTTAACTGTGAAACCCCAAGTCAGGGTCATTTTACGGATGTGTGCGAGGCCAGTGCTATT